CCAAAGAAAAAAAGTAACGCAGTTACTAGTAAAGTTACCAAAAAAGTAACTTGTAACTGTAACTTCGTTACAAGTAACGAGTTACTTCCATTCCCTGAGTAACGGTAACTGTAACGAGTTACTTTTAAAAATCGGTAACTAGTAACAGTATAACTTAAACAATTTATACTCGGTAACGAGTAACTGTAACTTGGTACTTTTAAAAAGTAACTTTCCATTCCCTGTACATAACACATGGACGTCTTTTGGACGTCCGCTGTATCCCAGTGAAAAATGATAATGTATTCGTCATCGATTTCATCGTCATTTCTCACTGGGATCAGGGATGTCCTCAAAAGTCTTAAGATGCCTTTTCATGCTGACGCTTGACACTCATTTTCAGCGTCAAAACAGGTCACGTGATTAAAATTGATGCTTGATATTCGTTAATTTCTATCACGTGACTTATTTTGACGCCGAAAATAAGCGTCGAGCGTCGGCACCTTTAGGCTGGCGTCCCATGAAACGGAAATTGCAGCGGAACGGAATAGCGCGACCAATCACAATCGTAGAAAAGAAAGCAGAGTAATGACTGCAGAGTTGTGATTGGTCGCGCTGTTCCGTTTCGCTGTAAATTTCCGTTCCATGGAACATCTGCCTTAGTTATATCCTAATGTCTTGAACGTCTATAAAACGTTCGAAGGACGTTTGCTTTTATCATAGCTACGGTAGGACGTCTATAAGACATTCGAAAGATATGTTCAGAATTGGATCACAAAATTCAATATTACGTATGTTTAACATTTCTGATATACATCATGAACATACATTTGAAATTCGAGCATTGATGTTCTTTATATTAAGTAAGATATTTTAAAAATGTTCTAAAGACATCCATTAAATGTTTAGAGGACGTCTGTTGTATGTGCTAGGAATGTCCGCTATATACAGGGTGATTTAGAATAATCTTTTGTCCTTAAAGGGACACATTCTTGGCCGTATTCTAAGACGATCTTTCCTTTACAAAAATTTTGTTCAAAGCGTAGTTTTCAAATTACAAGAAGAAATAGTTAGCGTATCACGGTTCGCGTATAGGAGATGGGCAGGAGCGGCGCTCACGGTTAGAC